GACCGCAACATATTGTAAATGGACAAGGGAAAGCAGTTTACAAAATGGGGTGTGTCGTGTGAGCCAGATTTTGTAAAACAACATTTATACATAAAGACTGAAAGACCACGAGGCAAAACGTTGCATCTCTGGGTGATAAGCTCGCTGGTATTGTCATTTTCTTTTCATTTATATTATTCTAAATTTTTATCAATGAATATGTATTGTGAACTTTCATAATAGGAAAATTCACTTGGAAAGTCAGTCATTGTGAGCTTTCTGTGGAACTTTTGAGTTCAGGAAAGCCAGAACTCAAAAAGGAAAGCAGGGAGGGCATGTAAGTAATCAGTTAGAGTGTTGCAAGCATTGAAATAAAAATGAAATAAACCCTGGCCCTTTTCCGGGTCACTGATTGTTTAGTGAGCAAATGCATTATCACAATGTCTCCGGGTGGTCAAGGCTAGGGAGTACTTTGCAAACAGTGGAAAATTTTTTCGGGAAGATACCCAGGAGAGATAGTGAGGCATCTCAGGAATTTGAGTTGAACTAATTTAGTTCATGCTTGGGGGGGATGAGGTCAGCCAACCGGAAAAGCACCTCATCTAAGCAGTACCTGGGAGCCGGGTGAGTGAGGAGTCATGAGACTTGGTGGAGCCCAGCCAAGGTGTGGAGTGGAGGCCCCCGGCGGCATGAACCCATCTGGGGAGGAAGAGGCAGCAGAAGGCAGTAGAAGGGCAGTGGAGGATGGAGAAAAGGCAGGTTTTAGCCAGGTAATGATCAGTGTTTGGCAAGGGCAAGAGGCACCTCTCCCTGGGGGCACCACATTGTCATTACTCAGAGCCTTGCCTCAGGCCTGTCCAGAGTTGAGAACAGTCCCATCGGCAAAGGCATCACCTGCAGATTGTTCGGAATGCTGAGTCCACACCTACTATGTCGTAATTTGCGTTTTTACAAGATCCTTAGGAGATTCAGGGACATGTGAAAGTATGAAGAGTCCGAATTTAGGAGAAATATCCCCAATATATGCTCCTTGGCTCATCCTGATTACATGCATGATTCATTACGTTCAGCTTCATGAAGACTTCGCAAGGATGTGAGGCCAGGAGGAAAATGTCCTGGACAGACAGGGCTGGATGAATCCCTACCCGTGAACAGGCATTCCCCTGCCTCTGCCTTAGGCAGCATGTGAATCTGTTTTATAAGGTCACAATCCCTTATACAAAAACCCTGTGGCCAGATGTGTTTCAGAATTCAGACTTTTTCTTTTTCTTTTTTTTTTAAGGATTTTATTTATTTATTTGACAGAGAGAGACACAGAAAGAGAGGGAACACAGCAGGGAGCGGGGGGAGGGAGAAGCAGGCCCCTCGCAGAGCAGGGAGCCTGATGTGGGGCTCAATCCAGGACCCTGGGACCATGACCTGAGCCGAAGGCAGATGCTTAATGCCTGAGCCACCCAGGCGCCCCTAGAATTCAGACTTTTTCATATTTTAGGACCGTGATATGGGGCATTTACCAATATATTAAGTAACTCTCCCAGTGGGATCTGAGGTAGTACCCTGGGATCAAATGCTTTAATATTCTGCAATTTATTTATTTATTTTTTTTAAAAGATTTTATTTATTTTTCAACAGAGAAAGAGAGACAGCAAGAGAGGGAACACAAGCAGGGGAGTGGGAGAGGGAGAAGCAGGCTTCCCGCAGAGCAGGGAGCCCGATGCAGGGCTCGATCCCAGGACCCTGGGATCATGATCTGAGCTGAAGGCAGATGCTTAACGACTGAGCCACCCAGGTGCCCTAATATTCTGCAATTTATTATACCAAAATATTAAACATGATAAGGCCAGGTCAATTTTGGTGCCAAATTTAATGAAAAAACTTTGTCTTCAGAGGGCAGGGATTTTATTTATTTTTTTAAATCTTTTATTTAGTTATTTTTTTTAAGTAGGCTCCATGCCCAATGCTTGAACTCACAACCCTGAAATCAGAGTCACGTGCTCTACCAACGGAGCCAGCCACATGCCCTCAGGGTGCAGGGATTTTAAAGAATCATGGATAAGCATTATGAACTATATTATTATTTTACGTTTAGAATGTATCAAGCGGTTAGAAACACTGAATGGTACCATCTCCCAGTTCTAGTTAACCTCAGACTTAGCAGGAACTACAAGATCTAGCAATTCTTTCAACTATAAAGTAGTCCCCATACTTCCTCTCATCAAGCAGGTCACACCTGGCGTGGTGATTCCCAGAACCCACGGGGTTCTGTGAAGAGCAGTTGGATTTTGGTGAAGTGAAGAGTTGATCCCAGCTAACATCGAGGTGAAATGTCAGAGCGGCGGCGGGAACCCAGGGCCACCAAGTTCCTGCCCTGTGCTTTCCTCCCCCTGTGGACAGTGTGCAAGGTGAGCATGCACTCCTGGGCACTTTCCTCCCCTGAGTCCCCACGGAGGAGACAGGCTCCGGCTGAAGGATGAGAATAACACATTCCACCTGCTGTGTGTACAAACACGGAACTGAGATTGGACCGTTCTTTCCCCAGCTGGGCTGTGATGACACATCTCATCTTTCCACTTGCCAGACTTTCAGCCACGTCAGGGTGGTGCTAATTGGTCCTTAGAAAGTCCTTGGTGTGAGTCAAGTCCTTGCACTTGTTCTGAAGCCTTTCTCCAGGTAAGCCCTGCCAGGAAGACAGTGGCAAAAAAGAGTTTGCTGGAGGCTCTTGGTACAGCAAAGGTCCAAGGAGTTTCTAGGAAAGTCTCAAAGGCCAGAAGAGAAAGCTCCTGGGCCAGAGTCCATCTCTGCTCTTGGGATGATGCTCTGCTGAAACTGGCAGAGGGACCCTCATGGGCTTTCGAGTATCAAAATCAGGAAACCAGGGGCGCCTGACTGGCTCAGTCGGTGGAGCACACAACTCTTGATCTTGGGGTTGTAAGTTCGAGCCCCACGTTGGGTGTAGGGATTATTCAAAAATATTTTTAAAAAATCAGGAGGGGCGCCTGGGTGGCTCAGTCGGCTAAGCATCTGCCTTCAGCTCAGGTCATGATCTCAGGGTCCTAGGATTGAGCCCCGCATCGGGCTCCCTTTTTTTTTTTTTAAGATTTTATTTATTTATTCGACAGAGAGAGTGAGAGAGTACAAGCAGGGAGGAGTAGTAGAGGGAGAGGAAGAAGCAAGTTCCCGCAGAGCAGGGAGCCTGATGCAGGGCTCGATCCCAGGACCCTGGGACCATGACCTGAGCCGAAGGCAGATGCTTAAGCATCTGAGCCACCCAGGCGCCCCTAAATAAACCTTTAAAAAAAATCAGGAAACCAGAGGCCTCCCTTGTCTCTGGGGTTGCAGGCATCATTTCTGCTTGTCCTTGGGCCCCACGGTCTCTCACTCTCGTCTGTGCTGCAGTCTGTGTCTGTGCTGTTTCCCTTCTCTTGCGGGGGTTTATTCTTTTTTTGTAATACGTGTCCAGTGCAGGAAAAGGAGGAAACTGAGATGAACGTAATCATCCTGACACTTGGGAACAAAGCGAGGCGTTATTCTAGGGGCTCTGCCTGAATCCTGTACCATTCCCGATGACAGCCCTGTGGGGCGGTTCTATTATTGTATCATTCCTGTTCTACAGATGAAGGCACAAAACACAGAGAGAGGAAGTCACTTGCCCCAGGAGCTGGGCAAAGAGGTGGCAGCCTGGGATTTGAACCAAGCAGTGTGGTGTCGGGAGTCCACACCCTTAACCACCACACCTCTTCGTAAGTATTTTATTTTTTATTTTTTAAAAGATTTTATTTATTTGAGACACAGCGAGAGAGGGAGTACAAGCAGGGGAAGCGGCAGGCAAAGGGAGAAGCAGGCTCCCCGCTGAGCAGGGAGCCCAATGCAGGACTCGATCCCAGGACCCTGGGATCATGACCTGAGCCAAAGGCAGACGCTTAATGACTGAGCCACCCAGGCACCCCTTTATAAATATTTTTAATGTAAATTTTTTTCTTTATTATAAAGATATGTGATACTCGAACTCTTTGGTGGTCTTTCTCCCATTTATCATCTTTCGACATCATAAAATAGTCTTCTACAACCTTTCCTTCAAAATGGAAGTAGTCCTGCTTTTTGGTTGTAAAAGTGATAAAGGAAATAAATTTACGTATTTCCTTGTCTGTGCATAAAGTGTCTGTGCAGGGTTACACCAGATGCTGGTAACACTGCTTACCTCCGGAGGGAGCCAGATGGAAGGCAGACACGGATGAGAGGGAGGTGTTTTATCGTATAAATTTCTTTTTTTTTTTTTTAATATTTTATTTATTTATTTGACAGCACAAGTAGGCAGAGTGGCAGGCAGAGGGAGAGGGAGAAGCAGGCTCTCCGCTGAGCAGGGAGCTGGACGTGGGACTCGATCCCAGGACCCTGGGATCACGACCCGAGCCGAAGGCAGCCGCTTAACCGACTGAGCCACCCAGGTGCCCCTATCGTATAAATTTCTGCACTCTTGATTGAACTTGCGAATGTAGTGCCTATTTCCAAAAGTAAGTAAGTTTTAAAAATAAGACTGATTCATTCTCATTGCCCCCCCCCAAAAAAAATCAAACAGTATAGAAAGGCATAAAGTAGGAAATAAATTCATCTTTAAAAAACTCAAGACCCAGAGATAACACTGCTAACATTTTTGCTCTATTTTTTCCAGACCTTTATGGATGAATATACAGACACATGCAGATTGATTTTTACCAAAATGGGACGACGCTGTGTGGTGCTGTTCTGTTACCTGTGTTTTTCCCTTAGGGCAAATCATGGACCACATTCCAGGCAGCCTCATTTTAAATGTCTGCATGGTTTTTAAGTCATGTGAAGTTGGCCAGTTTCCAAAAGATTATTTCTGGCTGAACTGAGAGAGTCCAGCATCTGGACATACGTGCTAGCTGACACCAATTCCTATCACCCCAAACCTGGGCTTTTTAATTTGCTGTGTTCCAGACCCTGGAGAGATCACATCTGGGAAAGGACTGGACCTACTTTCTGTTTGTGATGTTTAAACGATGTCACTTACTCCACAGGTACAAGTACTTCCTACCTGCCCCTGCCCCTCGGCCTTCATGCCCCCCACCGCCGAGACACCAGTGAAAGTAGAGGGCTCTGGCGGGAAGAACCAGTTGGCATGTCCAAGGACCTGCGTTCCCACCTGGGCTGTGCCGCATGCTGTGTGCTCTTGGGCAAGTCCCTTTCCTTCTCTGCAGGACAAAGGTAATAACCTCCACGCTGCCCATTTCACAGTGTTATTTCATTGGAAGACTCTGATGAAGTTACGATTGCAAAAGTAGTATGTAAGATCTAGAACACTGTATACATACAAGCTTCTATTATGAAACTGTGGCCTCTGAACCGGAGCTGTCGAGAAGAACTGTAGACATCAAAACCAGTTGGTCCAGCTTCTTCCTAATGCTGGCTAGTGGAGCTAACACTCCTGTGCTAAGGAGCGAACACACCTTCCAACATTGTACACACACATCTTTCAAACCAAGGGTTGCAAAGTATAAGAACACAGTGTGGCAAGGGTATGGAACGACTGAGACTCTGCCAGCGCCCCACACAGTGGGTGGGAATGGGGACGGAAACCACCTTTTTGAAGAAGAGCTGGTATCTACTCAAGCAGGTTACCCTGGGGCCCAGAAAGGCCTCTCTAGTTACATAATGCACACATATGCACGCCGGCATTCACCAAATGGCAGTTAGAATGTTTCAAGCAGCCCTGTTCGTAAGAGCCCCAAACTAGCAGCCACCCTTGTGCCCATCCACAGTTAATGGGTGAATTGTAACATTGGCACACATTCGAATGCTGTCCGGCAATGCGCAGGAGAGGTCGTCAACGACATAGGACAGGGTGGCTCCATCCCACAAACATGCTGAGCGAAAGAAGCCGGAGCCAGAATAAGAGCACAGGACTTGTTTTACTTAGATCTATTGCTGCATAACAGACTACCCCAAAACTTAGTGTCTTCAAGCACCAATTTGCTATTTTTCATGATGGCATGGGACAGCCGTGCAGTTTCTCTTCTGATTTCATCTGCGGCGGCGTTCAGCTGTGCGTTTGGCAGGCTGCAAAGGTTCAAGGTGACCTTCATCACACACCTGGCGGTGCTCAGCTCTTCTACACGTGGCCCGGGTCACTCCCTGACATGCAGCAGCTTTCCAAGACAGTCCAAGTGAAGACATAGTCCTGCTGAGGCCCCACCTACAAGTTCACAGCATTTGTTTCTCTGCATTTATTTATTTATTTTTAAGATTTTATTTGAGGGTGCCTGGGTGGCTCAGTTGGTTAAGCGACTGCCTTCGGCTCGGGTCATGATCCCGGAGTCCCTGGATCGAGTCCCACATCGGGCTCCCTGCTCGGCAGGGAGTCTGCTTCTCCCTCTGACCCTCCCCCCTCTCATGTGCGCTCTCTCATTCTCTCTCTCACAAATAAATAAATAAAATCTTTAAAAAAAAAAAAAAGATTTTATTTGAGAGAACAAGCGTGAGTGGGGGTTGGGGAAGGGCAGAGGGAGAGAGAGAATCTCAAGCAGACTCCACGATGAGCATGGAGCCCAACATGGGGCTTGATCTCATGACCCTGAGATCAAGACCTGAGCTGAAATCAAGAGTCGGATGCTTAACTGACTGAGCCACCCAGGCACCTCTGTTTCTCTGCATTTATATTGGTCAAACTAAGTCAAACCTTACAGATCTGCAGATTCAAGGGGTGGGAAAATAAGCCATACCTAGTGATGAGAAATCACCTTGCAAAGGGCCACACATATAGGGAGGGGAGAAATTTATGGCCCTGTGTCCCATGTGCCACAGTACAGTATGATTCCATGTACATAAAGCAGAAAAGCAGACAAAATCAATTTATGCTGTTATAGATTCCTTAGCAGCTAGGCCTCTAGGGGAAGATGAGGGAGACCATCCAGGCTCTGGGATGTATTACACCTCCTCATCTAGGTTCTGGTTACTAGAGTGTGTTCAGCTTATGGAAAATCAGCAAGCTCTAAACTTAAGGCATCTGAAATTGTTTATGATTGCAATAGTTGAATGAAAAGTAAAAATATATACAGTGGCTTAAAAAGAATGACATTCAGGGGTGCGTGGTTGGCTCAGTTGGTTGGGTGTCTGCCTTTGGCTCAGGTCATGATCGCAGGGTCCTGGGATTGAGCCTTGGTGGGGCTCCCTGCTCAGTGGGAAGTCTGCTTGTCCCTCTCCCTCTGCCCCTCCCCCTGCTTGTGCTCGAGCGCTCTCAAATAAATAAAATCTTTAATTAAAAAAAAAAAATGAAGTTCATTTCTCTTTCAGGTCACAGTCTAGCTGGTCAGCATTTCACGGTAATTCAGGGCTCCTCTCTTGCTGTTCCATCATCTTGTCCTTATCTGAATAGCTGAAGCTGTTACTTGCAGTCTGAGTTCCAGCTAGTGGGAAGGGACCCACAGGGCTAATCCCAGACAAACACTTCCTTTGGAGCTAATAAAGGAGAAGTTACACACATCACTTCCACTCACAATCCACTGACAAGAATTTATGCTCATGGCCGTGCCTAGCTGGGAATGGAGGCTTACGGGGGCAGCCTGGGCCAAGAGGTGCCAACTTCAGGAAACAGCCAGCACTCTGCTGCATTTTTCACGATGAAGCTTTTCTTCACTCATTCTGTTTTCACAAGGCTACCCAGAAATAGCTAAGTTCCTTTTTCACAGTGTTAAAAGATTAAAAACACCAAATAACCTGAGTTCTATACTTGTAATTCCTGTGTCAAAGTCAAGGGTGTTACAGACTGGAAACATGTCTCTTGATACCAGTGTTGAAAACATTAAATTTCTGCTGCGGCCAAATGGAAGATCCAGAAGTATTTCTTTAGTGACTGTGAACTCAAAACTCCAGGGGAAGTTTCTTTTATAATCATTGCTCAGATGTTAAGTGATGAATCACTGAATTCTGTTCCTGGAACCAATATTGCACTGGATGTTAACTAGAATTTAAATTAAAAAAATTTTTTTAAATCATGGTTCAGGAAGATAGTGATAATGGGGACTTGTCTGATACTTTTGTGCTACCAGTGATATCCACTGTATCACAATACTTTAATAGCTCGTAGCTATTTTATTTTTTAAAGTTTTTTTAAAAGATTTTATTGATTTATTTGAGAGAAAACAGAAAGAGCACAAGAGAGGGGCAGAGGGAGAAGGAGAAGCAGACTCCCCACTGAGCAGGGAGCCCGATGCGGGATTCGATCCCAGGAGCCCCGGGATCATGACCTGTGCTGAAGGCAGATGCTCAACTGACTGAGTCACCCAGGTGCCCCTATTTTTTAAAGTCTTAGTTATTTAAGTAATCTCTGCACCCCGTGTGGGACTCAAACTCATGACCCTGTGATCAAGTCACATGCTCTTCTGACTGAGCCAGCCAGGTGCCCCAGCTGGTAGTATTTTCAAGAAAACAATATTTTGAATACAAATTGGGACTTAAATTATAGACAGTCTAGATTATGTGTGAAGAATAGCACTCAAAATTGTATCTTTTCCGGATCATTTTTAACCTTTCAGTAAAAACAAAGATCCTCTTGTAAGATAGTTTCAGCTACCAAAAAAAAAAAAGGTGTTAATAATCATGACTCATTTTCCCAAAAAAAAAAAAAAATATATATATATATATGTATATATATTTTTTTTAGGTAATTTCTACACCCAGTGTAGGGCTTGAACTCACAACCCCAAGATCAAGAGTTGCACACTCCACCAACTGAGCCAGCCAGGTGCCCCTCCTGAAATAAACATATTTAACTTATATAAGGAAATACATAAATTTCTTCAAATTTTAAATATATAATTGGCCAGATTCCAAGGGATTATATATTTTCCTGGAAAAAAAGGTCAACTGCCTTTGGAAAATTCCTTTATATGATTTTACAGGGGCATCATGAAGTGTGCAATGAATGTCCAATGAGCAAATTAATGCATTTTAGTAGCTTGTATCTTATGTGCTGAGAGTACCTGATTAGGGCATGTAAAACTGAAAATGCACAGATAGGGAATTTTTACATCAAACAAATGTGTAGAGTTTAAGGAAATAATTTATTGTTAATAGAACCCTGCTAATTCATTCGATTTTCTCACATGTACATTCCCTCCGTTCCCTTTCTTTGGGACCCCCTCCCAACCCACTCCCTTGGATTTTCTGACTTACCGCCGGCCTTCTTTCTAGAAGGGTCAGCTGTAGCACTAACAGTTCAGGATATGCTAGGATTTTCCCTGAGATATCTGTGTACTGTTCCTGGGCACCTGGCCAGGAGGATCTCCTTGGAACCAAAAAGTTAATAATGGTCTAGAAAATACAAGTGTCATGGTCTATGAATTTCTAAAATGAACTTTGTAACATCATGCAAAGACAAAGGAGTGGAAAGGAAAGTATTCTGGCTTTGAGTTGGGCAGTCCCCAGTTCAAATCTCAGTTTTTCCTCCTCATTAGTACAGTGGTATCCCTGCCTGTCAAATCTCCGTTCTTCCCCTTCCTACCTCCGTGTGTAACCTGGGGCAAAGGACTGAGTGTCCCTGGGCCTCAGCCGCCGGCTCTGTGACACGGGAGTAACGAGGCCTGTAGTGAGAATAAGCATATTCAGCGAGCTGCAGGTGCTCAGGAAAGTAGCTCCTCTCCCACTACCCCCTTGTCCTCCCAGAGCTCAAAGATCTGTAACCTAAGGAATCAAAGGGAAGCCAAACAAGGACTGAAGCTTTACAAGTAAGATCTAAGGAGAACGGGTGAAGGGATGTGTTTAGTGAGGGAAAGAAGAGTGTTTAGTCCAGACAGAGAACAATAAATAACTATGGCCACCCTCTGTAAGCACCCGCTACCTTGCTTGGCATTTAATACAGTTTTACCCGGTCCTCGGGACAGCACTGTGAGGAACGTACGATTTAGTTAGTGAGGAAACTGAGATTTTATAACACCCAAGATCATTCAGCTGAGTGCAGAAGTGGAGATTCAAACTCAGATCCTCCCACGGGGAAGCCAGCCCTATAAGAAGCAGGAGGGACACAAAGACAATGGCTGTAAGTCACTGGTATCAGGGACAGGCAGGGACCAGAGAAGACAAGCGCAGTCTTTCTTTGTCTCGGACTCCGTTCCTTTATGTGGGGGCTCTCCTGAAGGCAGGAGGGACTCTACCTTCCCAGAAGGAAAATGGGCTTGTGAGCGCCATGCTGGGAATGGATCTCCGGGGGCCACACAGGCTGGCCTGAGCACCGAGTCCCTCCTCACCGAGGGGGACTCAGTGGCTGGCCTACAGTTGAGTCCATCCCTCTGTTCTATGTTCTTTTTTTTTTTTTTTAAGAGTTTATTTATTTATTTTAGAGAGAATCTCCAGCAGACTCCCTGCTGAGCATGGAGCATGACATGGGGCTTGATCCCATCACCCCAAGATCATGAATCAAGCTGAAATCGAAGAGTCGGACGCTCAACTGCCTGAGCCACCCAGGCGCCCCTCTATATTCTACTGCCTTTGCAGACTCTCCTTCACCTCACACTGGTCATCCCTAAGAGTTTATATAAAATGAAATAAAAATATTAAAATGTACAAATGAAATTTTTTTAGCCTTCATTTCTGGAAACTCTCCATTTCTTTGTGCACAGAACAGGTCAGACAGCTAGGATTCGGGGCAAGGCCCTGCGGTCGTCAGCCTTTTCAAGCCACCTGGGGTCTAATTTTCATGCTGCCTGAGCACTGGTCTCGGACCCGCCACCTGCACTCTGCTGCTCTTCCGAGTGGAAGCCCAGACTTCTTCACCTTGCTGAGGAGCATGGTGAGCTGGAGCTGAATGTCATGTCTACAACCCAGGTCCTCTACGGAGCTGCGCTCCCCTCTCCCGTCTGGGTAACTGTGAGGCCATCTGAACGGTGTCTCTCCCCCTGTGGCTTTTCCTTCTGTGGAGACATAGAATAGGTCAGTCTGATACACTCCACCCCGTGTTCCGACTCACAGAGGCCTATCATGTTTCTAAACGGCACCTGGGCTTAAATTGGCTTCTAACCCTGATACACCTTCTGAGTGAACGTAAGCAGAGAATCGCACATCACCCTCCCCGCGAGATCACCGGGAAACACAAAGCCACACCAAGAAAGGACGGGCCACAGTTTGATATTGTCCAGTGAGTGTCTCCTGGCCTCAGAATACTGCCACTTCTCGCAGCTCCAGCCCTCGGCTGTGCTCCACTCTGAGCAGGTGAATTCCTCTGCTGAAACTTGCACACAGTAAGGAGACGGTGTCGCCAACAGCCAGGGAAGTCAAAGGTCCTGATCCATCCAGGGACAAGGTGAACAGGCAGGCTGGGGGAGGAAGAGGGAACCAGCAGCTCAGGCCAAGGGCGCAGCATCATGGGACGCGAGGTCTCTGTGAGAAACCCGTGTAAACAAAGCGTGTGCTCTCCATGTCTAACCCAGGTAAGAGCCGCATCCCTGCTCCAGAGGACTGTGCACCCGCGCGGAGGTCAGACTCAGATCGGCCGCAAGGCTTCAACTCCAGAGAATGGCACATGGACCAAACAAGGTGGGGATCCCTGAGATACCCGTTCAGACAGTCAGGGCCTCGCCTGCAAGGACGTGTGAATACACTGCCCTCAGTTCCCACCCACCCAGAGAACGGAGCAGGGGGCCAGGGCAGAGGAAAACAGAGGCGATGCTGATCTTCAGCTGCTGGCTTCTGGGGTCTTGCTCCCTTCAAGACCAAGGAGATTGGGACCTGAAGGGGAATCTGCGGGCCTCCAGCTGACCCGGTCTGCCTCCGTCCCCGTCTCGGGGGCTGCTCTTCTGAGAACTATAGGTGCACATCTGGGGGGCAGGGCAGCACTTCCAGACCTTGTTCTCCCCGGTGTCAGGTTTATAAGCATTGAACCTGGCAGCAGCTGCCCCCCCAACCTCCCAGAGCTGTCACACGGGGCAGCTGGTGAGGGCACCTCCAGGTTTGGCTCACCTACCACTAGACGTGATCTCACATCTTTTCTCTGAGGGGGCTATCCTATCCTCCCCTGCTGGGAGCTGAGTTTCTAGAACATTACTGTAGGAGGGACTGGTTGTGAGATTCTCTAAGTTAACACTATTCCTGTGTCTGACAGAACCCCGGGTCCAGCACAAAATAGTCTGGAGGCACTGGGGTACTGATAAGGAAGAAAAAAAACCAGCCACCTCTACTCATAGCATATGCCACGCTTTGTGGTGCAAATACTCCCACTATGACCATATTAAATACTCCTGAATATTTAACAATCAGCCAGTAGCAGTGGGCTCTGGCATATTTCACTGAGGACTCTGGGGAGCTGCGTTCCCTAAAACATCTTCTTCTCTGGTGCTTTGAAGTGTTATGACCTGACTGTCATCTCAAATCTTAGCTGCAGCATCAAAACAGGGCAGTCTTGCTCTACGTCACCCCCACCATGAGCTGAGACTCTCATTTTAGTCCTTAAAAAGTGAATCTGAAAATGACAATCCTTGTTTTCTTTGCCAGACATTTTGAGTATCACGTGTTAAAACCTGATGGAAGAACTTCAAGTAGAAAGAAAACTAAGAGCCAAATATATTTGAGCTCTCAGGAACAAGTCTCTACAACGTGGTACCAGGGCTCATGCAGTGATGGCTTCCAGCCAGGGGTTCAACAGAATCCTGGTATCTTAGTGTCATCTCTTAACCACTAGGGGACTGGATAGTGGCAGGACAGGGCTGTTTTTTTATTTGCTGAGCCTCAGAAAGAAAGAGTTTCAAGGAAGCTTTTAAGACTCCATGTGTCTTTGAGAAGCACCACCAGCAGGCTCCTTACCTCCAGTATCTTGGTTCCAAATCTTCACTTTACAGTCATGCGATGAGGTAGCAATTATAGGCATCGAGGCCAGTGCTCTTGGTAGAAAGACGCAGGATGCAACAGTCTGGAAATGCCCCTTATATTCACATATTCTGTTCCGAGTCTGCCTTAGGTCCCACAGCTGCAGAGTAATGACATAGGCTAGCTCATACATACATATTTCTCTAGCTTCATACATGCTACCTTCACTGATCTCCACCTCCCCACCTTCTCATCACCCACCTATCCCCCTACTTACCTACTCATGTAGCTACCCCTCATCTTCATCCATCCCATCCACATATGAAATCATCCATCCATCCAGTGATTATTTTAAACATCACCGATCTCAGACAACCATGGGTAAGGATGTGCCAGAAGGGTCCCTGCCTTCCTCATTAATGTCATGGTTAGGGAAGTGAAAGCTCCAAGTCCTACAGCATGATGGGACAGTATGGGGTTGCCTACTTTTTTTTTTTTAAGTTCTTTTATTTATTTAAGTAATGTCTACACCCCATGTGGGGCTCAAACTCACGACCCCAAGATCGAGAGTCTCGTGCTCTTCTGACTGAGCCAGCCAGGTGCCCCAGGGTTGCCTACTTTCTACGACAGTTCAAGAGCTACCTGACATCAGCCTCTTGGTGTCTGTGGCTTCTGTGGAGACCCCACAGTGAGGGGCACCTTCTCATAAGTACACAGAGGTGCAGACCTTCTGATTTATTGCCTGCATGCTGAACCTTGGGATATGAAGATGAGACTCTCCAACAAAGGAGGTGGCAGTCCTGCCAATCCCACTCTTGTTGACACGATCAGACCATAGCTAGAGAACAAGGTTCAGGGAGGAGAGCAAACCGAATTGTGTCCAAAAAATAATGAAGTCACTGGACACCATGTAATTCAGGAAAACAACATTCAGAGAGGACAGTGATCTGAATTGTGTCCGAAAAATAATGAAATCACAGGACACCGTGTCAGTTGTAGGGGCTGGAAATGCTTAGCTTGGTGAAGAGATGCTACATCAATAGCCTGGGATTCAATACCTCAAAGTACCACTTACTAGAAGTGTGGTCTTGTGCAAGAGATTTCAACTTGCCATGCCTCTATTTGCTCATGTGTAAAATGGGAATTATAATAGAACCTAACTCATGAGGTTGTTGTAAGGATTAAATGAGATAATGCATGTAATGTGCTCAGGCCAGTGCCTAGTATATGATGTTCGGTACAATGGGAGCTCTAATTGTTCTATTTGGACTAGATGCCCCTTTTAACCTATATTCTACAATGAGGAATCCAAGGTACTTTGGAGGAGCCAATGCAATCTAATCCAAAATGACTTGCGAGGAAAGGTATATGGGTAAGGGTTGGGATGGGCCGTTGACCAACACTGGGGCCTCAAACTCCCTGAAGAGCTTGAGCCTCCTTTACTGTGACCACAGGTACAGTGGGAATACACTTGGCTCTTCAAATAGTCCCTCCCCTTTCTAAGCTCTGCTGGGAGCAGGGACATTAGCAAGCTGGTTCTGTGTTGAGCACCTTCCTATCTTGACTCTCATCCCATCCCTTTGTCTACTACCAATTCAGAGAGCCCAAGGCTAATGGAGGTTTCTTGAGAGATGCATCTGGAATGCAAAGGCTCACTTACAGTATGCACTTGGAATAGGCCTGAGCCATTAATAGAGCTGACCTGTGTAGCCCAGTACAGACGGGAGGTCGGAGGAAGTACTTTGCTCATCAGCAACCAGACCCCCAGACCCCCAGAATCTCTTACCGTGGCTTCGCAGCCTTCCCCTCCAAAGCCGCTGCTGCAGGAGATACACTTGTGTCCGTCCTCACTGACCTCGCAGTAGGTCTGAATATGCTGCTTTGTGGGAAATATATGAGCTACCTGCAGCCCCCGGCTGTCCCATAATCTGCAAGAAATGACCGCAGGATATGAATCTGTCGGCTCTTTGCTGCTTCAGCCAGTCTGATGGAATGTCATGATTTACGTACAATCAGGAGTATGAACCAGATCAACCTTGGAGACCCCAAAGCTGCCAGGAAATAACCAAACTGAATGACATCTGAGTCCTTTCTAGTTTGAGATACAGTTAATAGGAATTTAGACCAAGCATCTTAACTGTATAAGTTAATTTGTTAATTTGGCCCTTTGGGATACTACTTTCAAGGGACAAGAGGATATTTCTGTGCCTGTGACTTAATTTTTTTAAAAGATAGTTATTATGATCCAGAGGAGCAGTCACCATTCCAGAATCAGATAGAATAGACTGCAGTCCTTGGCCTACTGGGCCACGAGGTCCCCGGGGGAGTGTTTTATTCGGCCTCTCATCTCATTTTCACCTCTTTACCTCATTCTTCCTATTTTCTAAGTAGAATGAATCTCTTATGAGATCCAGACTTTCTCGTTGTGCTTTCTACTCAAGAACGATTTACTTCATTTGACTCTCTTGATGCAGATTCTGACCCCATTTCCCCAGACAAGGCTTCACCTGAGGCCTGAGTGATTGAGAACATCCGGCGCCAAGCAAGGGTGGCAAGTGGAGCCAGGCAGCTCAAAGCAGGGGGACAAGCAAGTGACCAGGTCCGAGGTCAATCTGAATATTTTCACACAGGGGGCGAGGGTGGGGCCAGACAGAGTCAGCTGCTTCAGAACCATCCAGGACAGGCGCTTTTTCCTGGCCCCACCTCTTGCCATTCAACCTCTACCCAGATGGTCCAGGAGGCCAGGTCAGAGAGACCCCAGCCCCAGCAAGGGGCAAAGGGGCAGAAGGCCCTGGGCAGGCACAGCAGTGTGGAGAAGCAGAGGGGGAAAGGAGTCATATGAGCATGGGAACCACAAACCTTCACCAGAAACACATTCACAGCTGCTCAGTAAGCCCACCTGATGGTTTTATCTTCAGAAGTCTGTAGTACATATGGTTGGTGGGGGACCCAGCGCAGGTGAGTGACCTGGAAAAAGCAAAATTTTCAAAACTTCTCACTGCCAAGGCATTCTTCTACGGCAATTCCTGTAAACTGTGCTAAATAGCATCTCCTCACCACTTCTCAAGGATGCTGACGCGTACGTTTGACTTGCAGGGAGTGTGTGTTCTGCAGATACCCACCAGTCATGCCCACCAGTCATGCCCACCGGTGTGCCCTGGATCAGCAGCAGCAAAATGGTAGCAGCCGGGCCAGTCGTGAGTACAGAATGCATGCAGGCACGCACACACGTGGTGGGGAACTGCTGGTGGGTGGCAGCTAAGGAGAGCAGCCCCCCGTTCTATATGGGACCACTGAAACCCTAGTCTAAGGCCTCACAGGGTTCAGGGCATGTTCTTTCTTCTCATCCCTGTAGCCCCCTCCTGGATAGGCACAAAAGAGGTTTCAAAACAACCCAAGATGACAGGATTTTCTTCTAGCAACCTCCACAAATATGGAGGGCATAGGGTGAGCATACCTTGCCATGGACAGTTGTCTTCAAAATTGGAAAAGATGACCATGAGTGATATTTAATGATCACTAAAGGAACATCTATCATGTCAGGTCATAGGATTCTCTCCATTTCATAAATGAAGACATTGACACTCTAAGTGACTTTCTTGGAGTAACACAGCTAAAATGTGATGGATCTTGGGGTGCCTGGCTGGTTCAGTTGGTAGAGCGTGTGACTCTTGATCTCAGGGTTGTGAGTTCAAGCCCCATGTTGGGTGTAGAGATTACTTAAAAAAAAATAAAAAGGTGATGGATCCATAATTTGAACTCAGGTATGACTGACCTCAGAGGCTGTGGAGTTTATATACCAGTCTGCTGGTATATAACATTGGTCTTCATAAACACGGCAAATTATACATAAAGCAAAGGGTCATGCTTGTTTCTCTGTGCATAAGCTGTGAGATCCTGGAGGACAGGGGCTGTGTCCTAGGCCACTAACCCTGCTCCTAGCAGAGCAGATATGGAATAACACATTTTGAGGGAATAAATGAGGACACACTTAAAATTCCAATATGAACTAGTGGAGGTGTTCTCTGGAGCAGAAGGCTTTATTTATCTTTTATTTGTTTTAAAGATTTTATTTATTTATTTGTCAGAGAGATAGAGAAAGCAAGCACAAGTAGGGGGAGTGGCAGGCTTCCCGCGGAGCAAGGAGCCCGATGCGGGGCTCAATCCCAGGAAGCTGGGATCATGACCTGAGCTGAAGGCAGATGCTTAACCGACTGAGCCACCCAGGCATCCCTGGAACAGAAGACTTTAAAGAGATCATCCAGCCTGATAACCCTGAGAGGCCAGGGTCTGACAGAGAGTTCAGGGTGAGTAGTAATGAGGCCCCAACCTCTACTGCCTGGTGTATCTCCTGATCTCTCTCCCAGGCTCTTCGCCTCACCCCATGCTCCCTTCTGCTGTCCCACTCTCTACCAACTTTGAGTCCCTACCAGGTTCCTCGAGATGGAAGCTCTCTCCACACACCGTCCGGTCCCAACGTCCCAGAGAAGCAGGGTGTTGTCCCGAGAGCCAGTGCACAGCTGTGACGAGTCTGGGGGAGCAAGGGAGAGATGGTCCATGAAATGGGCCTGGCACGGGGCTTTTCAGAAGGTACAACAGGGAGCGCCCAGGTGGCTCAGTCGGTTGAGCATCCGACTCTTGGTTTCAGCTCAGGTCATGAGCTCAGGGTCATGAGATCGAGCCCCAAGTCGGGTCATAGGATTCTCTCCCTGGGAGAGAGAATGGGACTCTGCTTCTCTCCCTGTCCCACTGCCCTTCCCTCCACCCCTGCTCACGCACACTCTTTCTAAAAATAAATAAATAAATTTTGGAAAAAAAGGAGGGGCGACTGGGTGGCTCAGTTGGTTAAGCATCTGCCTTCGGCTCAGGTCATGATCCCAGGGTCCTGGGATCGAGCCCCGTGTCAGGCTCCCTGGTCCACAGGAGTCTGCTTCTCCCTCTGTCTCTCCCCCTGCTTGTGCTCTCTCCCTCTAATAAATAAATAAATAACTCTTTAAAAAAAAGAGAGAGAAAGAAAGTACAACGGTGTTGGGGAGAGGTCTGTTTGACTTTACCTGGACTCACAGCCAATCCAGTGACCACCATGGCGTGGCCAGAGAACTGCTGCCTTGGCTGGGAAGGGCCACGCAAGTCCCACATTGTGACTGTCCTGTCACGAGAGCCGCTGAAGAACTGGCTGGATCTGGGAATACAGGCTATCTGCTCAAGAGAAAAAAAGTCCCAGTGTGCTTGTTTGATTGGCCTTGGAAATGGGCAACAGGCCTGGGGCTGCAGGTGTCAGAGCCCGAGGCTCTCCCCCGTCCCTGTCGGGGTGGGAATACATTGCATCTGGGTGTCAGTACCCTACTCTGCGCTGCGAGCTGAGCAGATGATGGAGTCTGCATCTCAATTCCGATTTTCAGTTCATTGAGGGGGATTCAGGGAAGGGCATTGTAGAGACTGGCATTCTCTATCATCTTTGCTGGAAGCTTACGCTGCCCTGTAATGCTTTTTTAGCAAATTAATTTTTATTTAACTGTTCTTGGCTTTTTAAAAATTTCCCCAACTAGAAGTTTCCTGAGTATAGAGATTTTATCATTAATTTATTTAAAATTATCATTATATTATTATATATTATATGATAAATTATTATTATATATAATAAAGTATTTATACATAAGTTATAAATGAATAAATTTTATCATGTATTATTTATTTATTTTTCTAGCTACAGTAAACACACAGGCAACCTTCAGTACCTGTCCCTGTTGAGTTAGGATAGGCAGGGAGAATTCTCTATTTACCACCTGAGCTATTAAGGGCTTAGTGACAAACTAAATCATGTCTAATATGCTTGTAACCATAGCTAAGGGAATGGTTTGCTCTGCTTTTCCTCGAGTAGGGCTTCACGGCATCAAATGGAGCTCTTACATTTTCTTAAGACTGAATATCCCATCCCTCTTACTAACTAGAGCTATTAGATACTCCTTTATTTAGTTCCAAATTCCCTCCACGATAATGATCATTTGATAATTACCTTAGTGATCTCTCGTTCATGTCCTCTGAACCTTTTCACCACATTTCCACTTTTCCAGTTATAGGCCACCACTGTCTGCAGAGAGTCATTAGGGTCATTAGAATCTCTGTAATATTTTATGTGAATTTCTATTTAACTGAAGCAAGCCTTTACTTCATTATCTACCTAATTTCTCCCTCTCTGTCAAGGGTCTTGTATTAGGGCTTTATTGTTATAACCTTCATCCTGTCCCCCTACATTGACTTCCTTTTCTTTCCTCCTGACTGGGGCGCTGTCTCTCTGCAAGGCAATGGACCACTGCTCTGGGCCTTACTGACGGGTTCGGGAGGACACCCCACAAGGGGAACGGACTCAACCTGAGGTTCTGGTCATAGATGCTGAAGTAGAATTCTACATGGGGTTAGAGTTTTTTCCCCTAATTGTTTTGTACTTTTATTTTAGTGTATTTAAAAAAATTTGCTATCTTAAAAAAAAAAATTTACCGGGTGCCTGGGTGGCACAGTCAGTTGAGCATCCCACTCTTGGTTTCAGCTCAGGTCATGATCTCTTGGCTCATGGGATCAAGCCCCACGATGGGCTCCGCACTCAGCAGGGAATCTGCTTCTCCCTCTGCCTCTCCTCTTCCCTCCCCCACCCCGCTCTCTCTCTCTCTCAAATAAATTAAATCTTAAAAAAAAAAAAAAGAATCTGTGAAATACAGTATGAAAATGAGAGGAATTAAAAGAATCTACATTTTTGCTGTCAATGTCTTAGCTGTGAGTCCTATGATAGATGCAAATATGGGGGGAGAAGCAACCAGATTCAGTGACAGTGGGAGAAAGGACAGAAACAGAAGGGAAGAATCATAATGCTCACCAGTGTAGAGATTTTGACAAAAGAGCAGCATAAGAGACTGGAAGTCTCCTTTTTTAAAAAATATTTATTTATTTATTTATTAGAGAGGGAGAAAAACAGAGAGAGCGAGCACACAAGGGGTGGGGGCAAAAGGAGAGGGGGAGAGAATCTCAAGCAGGCTCCAGCTCCCCACTGAGCGTGAAGCCTGATGGCAGGGCTCGATCTTACGACCTTGAGATCATGAACTGAGCCGAAATCAACAGTTGGCTGTTTAACCGACTGAGCCACCCAGGGAACCCCAAGGAAGTCTCCTTTTGATGACAAATAGCTCCTGTGTCAGTGTGTGGGTATGAAAATGGCTTGGTCGGGGCGCCTGGGTGGCTCAGTCGTTAAGCGTCTGCCTTCGGCTCAGGGCATGATCCCAGGGTCCTGGGATCGAGCCCCACGTTGGGCTCTCTGCTCAGCGGGAAGCCTGCTTCTCCCTCTCCCACTCCCCCTGCTTGTGTTCCCTCTCTCGCTGTGTCTCTCTCTGTCAAATAAATAAAATCTTTAAAAAAAAAAAAAGAAAGAAAATGGCTTGGTCAGAATAATACTTGCCATTTATAAAAAGCATATGGGCGATCTGGCACATCACTGAAGATCTTGCCACCTAATCCTCACAACTGTCCTGTGTCCTGTGAGGCTGGCATTATCACCCTCATTCCATGGATGTGGAGACTGAAGCTCACGAACAGTAAATGACCTCCTCAGAGGAACCGGAAGGGGAAGAGCGGGGACTTAAAGCCAGTCTTCCTTAGTCTAAAGCCTATGGTTTTACACTACTCAACATTGTTGCCAGAAACGCAGAACCAACGCTTCCTTCCCAAATCTCTTCCCTTCTCCACAATAAGCTGGTTCCCTGGGAAGCGCCACAAACCCACCTTATCTTTTCCTCCAGAGACACACAGGTCTGAGTTCAGAGCAGCAACGACAGAGACACTATCCACGTGAGCTGGGCTATACTCCAGACAAGATTTAGTTTGAGTTCTCTCTTCTATAATCCCGTCGGGCCTGCTAAAGACAGGATGGCAAATGAGAGGCCCTCTGTTACGGAGTGTGCAGCACGGCATGGGGAAGGCGTGGGCTACGGGAGAGGCCAGGCTGAGGAAAACATCTGGGAAAGGAGTACAGAAGGAGACCCACGGTCATTGCCAGAAATGGGATTATTAATGCTGAGCACGCTCAGAACAACCGAAGGACTAGAATCCGATAAAGAGGAAACCTGAAGCCAAGAAGCCAGGAGTCTTTGCTCACCTAGAGCTTATTCCCAAAGATGCCAGGCCTGTCTCTGAGTGGCTGCAGACACTAGCTAATCAGCTGCTTCTCATCCAAAAGAAAACAGACCAAACTAACTGTTCAGGGAAGGTCATCAGCAATCGCTCTGGGCCTTCTCTTTCTTTAGGAGAGAATTTTAATGCGACATGATAAAACTTGGGATCCCAATGTAGTATTGCTGTACCTGTATTTATAAGTGCTGTGTTTGAGCTTGCTTTGCAGTTTCCCCATCCCTGCACAGAACCGCCCCAAAACCTTGTGAGAAGGAGCTCGTTTCAGATGGCCGCTGAGCCAGCAGCATCCCTTGTGGCTGCTGGACGTTGTCCTCCCTGCTTGGTGGAAAGAATGCATACTGTTAATGTTGTTAGGCATGATGATGGTAGTCTGGTGATGTAAAAACAAAGCCTATTTTATTTATTTATTTGACAGAAAGTGAGAGCGCACAAGCAGGGGGAGTGGCAGAGGGAGAGGAACAAGCAGACTCCCCGCTGAGCAGGGAGCCCAGTGTGGGACTCGATCCCAGGACCCTGGGATCATGACCTGAGCCGAAGGCAGGGTGCTCAACCAACTGAGCCACCCAGGCACCCAAGCCTTCTTTTTTTAAAGACTAATTCATTGCTCTCATTTGCTTTTCTTCTTTCCCTTGCCTCTTCTTACGGCCCTGGGAATGCACCCTCCCATAAAGCATTAGCAGATCAGCAAAAACAGAAACAAAATTAATTTTAAAAATACAAAGAGGTTTCTTGGGGCACCTGGGTGGCTCAGTAGGTTAAGCATCTGCCTTTGGCTCAGGTCATGATCCCAGGGTCTGTGATCGAGCCCCGCGTGGGGCTCTCTGCTCAGCAGCGGGACTGCTTCTCCCTCTCCCTCTGCCTGCCGCTCCCCCTGCTTGTGCACTCACTCTCTCTGTCAAATAAATAAGTAAAATCTTTTTTAAAAATACAAAGAGGCTGGGGCGCCTGGATGGCTCAGTCATTAAGTGTCTGCCTTCGGCTCAGGTCATGATCCCAGGGTCCTGGGATTGAGCCCCGCATTGGGCTCCCTGCTCGGTGGGAAGCCTGCTTCTCCCTCTCCCGCTCCCCCTGCTTGTGTTCCCTCTCTCGCTGTGTCTCTCTCTGTCAAATAAATAAAATCTTTAAAAAAAACATACAAAGAGGTTTCTCAACAAGTTAAACATAGAATTACCATATGATCCAATAATTCTGCTCCTGGGAAGATAGCCAAAAGAATTGAAAGCAGGTGTTCAAACAAAATTTATACATGAATGTTCATGGCAGCACCGATTTACAATGGCCAAGAAGGGAAAACAACCCAAATGTCCATCAATGGATGAATGAACAAACAAAATGTGGTGTATCTGTACAATGAATATTATTCAGCCATAAAAAAGGAATAATGTACTGAAATATAGTATAACATAAATGAACCTTGAAAAGATCATACTAAGCAGAAGAAGCTAGACACAAAAGGCCACATATTGTATGATACCATTTATATGAAATATCCCTAGTCAGAATCTAGAAAGAAAGCAGATGAGTGGTTGCCAAGGGTTGGAATGATGGGGGAACAGGGAGTGACTACTTTAATAGGTACAGAGTTTCCTTTTTGGATAACGAAAATGTTCTGGAACTAGACAGTGGTGATGGTTCCATAACATTGTCTATGTACTAAATAAGAATAAATTTTATGTTATACATATTCTACCATAATAAATACTAGGAACGTGTATTTGAAACTAAGAAATAGTTTTCACCAGTGAAGCTTCTTGAAAAGAGCCTTAGTTATTCTAAAAGGTCATAACCTTCCTAGCTTGCTGATTTGTTTTTAAATAATTTCATGTGACACTTGTCTAAATCAGTGTGCCAGGTCATGAGGTTATTATGTAGTAACAATGAGATACAAGGGGCACTTGGCTAGCTCAGTCGGTAGAGTATGCAACTCTTGATCTCAGAGTCACGAGTTCGTTCAAACCCCATGTTGGGCATGGAGCCTACTTTAAAAAAAAAAAAGAGATGTGAGAGCTGATGACACTAAATGAGACAATACAGGTAATGACCTAGACCAGTAGTTCTTAATGTGATCTGAGGACTGATGGGGATTCCTGAGACCTTTTCAAGGCATCTGCCTCTCCCTCTGCCCCTCCTCCCTACCTCCCCAACTCAACCTCTCTTGTGTGTGTGTGCTCTCTCTCAGATAAATAAATAAAATCCTTTTTTTTTTTTTAAAGATTTTATTAATTTATTTGACAGAGAGACACAGTGAGAGAGGGAACACAAGCAGGGGGAGCAGCAGAGGGAGAAGCAGGCTCCCCACTGAGCAGGGAGCCTGATGTGGGGCTCGATCCCAGGACCCTGGGATCATGACCTGAGCCGAAGGCAGACGCTTAACGACTGAGCCACCCAGGCACCCCTAAATAAATAAAATCTTAAAAAAATAAAATTATTATTTGGGGGGAGGAAGGGGGAGAGAGAGGGAATCCTTTTTTATTTTTTTATTATTTATTTATTTTTATTTTTTTTTAAGATTTTATTTATTTATTTGAGAGAGAGAGAGAGCACATGAGAGGGGGGAGGGTCAGAGGGAGAAGCAGACTCCCCGCCAAGCAGGGAGCCCCATGCGGGACTCGATCCTGGGACTCCAGGATCATGACCTGAGCCGAAGGCAGCCGCTTAACCAACTGAGCCACCCAGGCGCCCTATTTTTTTATTTTTAAAGATTTTATTTATTTATTTAACAGACAGAGATAGCGAGAGCAGGAACACAAGCAGGGGGAGCGGGAGAGAGAGAAGCAGGCTTCCCACCGAGCAGGGAGCCCAATGCGGGGCTCAATCCCAGGAGCCTGAGATCATGACCTGAGCCAAAGGCAGACGCTTAACGACTGAGCCACCCAGGCACCCCGAGAATCCTTTTTTAATAAACAATTTATTTATTTATTTATTTGAGAGAGAGAGCACGGGCAGGGGTGGGGGGACAGCGGGGCAGAGGGAGAGGGAGAAGCAGACTCCCCGCCGAGTGGGGAGCTGGATGCGGGGCTTGATTCCAGGACCCTGAGATCATGACCTAAGCCGACGGCAGACAGTCAACTGAGCAACCCAGACTCCCCAAGAGAGAGAATCCTAAGCAGGCTCTGAATCCAACACAGAGCCAGACACAGGGCTCCATCTCATGACCCTGATATCATGACTGAGCTGAAATCAAGAGGTGGACGCTTAACAGACTGAGCCACCCAGGTGCCCCTAGGAAATGAGTTTCTTATAGGCATGACCAGCCCAGCTCTAGGAAGAATGGTCTACAGGAAGAACAGCAGCTAAAATTCACCAAATATTCTCAATGATACCATTAAAAAACAGTGTTCCAGAAGAATTTCAGCCTACATTTTGAAAAGCTGTCAGAATTGACCTCCGGACAAGATAGGTAACTGTACAGAAGCAGAGTGCAGTGACAGGAACGTTGTGTGTGACACCAAGAACCCTGGGCTCCAGCCCCAACTCTACCTCATTCCACTGTGTGTCTTTGAGTTCCTCCATTCCCTGCTCTGCACCTCAGCTTCCCCGTCTGTAAGTGAGGACACCAGATTAAATCATTTTTAGTAGACTGTGTGTTCCATGAGAGGAAGAAGTCTACCATATTCATCTTTGTACCTCAAGTGGCTTGCACAGTGTGGCAAAAACATTTCTTGTTAAGTAGTGTGAATCTAAGGTCCCTTCTAGTTCAGACATTCCAGGATTCTCTATAATAAGTATACCATATGCTACCAGAAAAAACTCCAGGATAATTTTCAAAAACCTTGGGATGTTGTATTGCTTATAGACAGAGGTTGCAGGGCTTCCTATCTGCAAGCATAGCCCGTTTTTCAACATTGTCATCAAACCAAGGACAGATGCCATCCATAGATCTAGGTCACCAAAAACAGCAGATGCTATAAATGGATTGGCTTTGCTTAACACTGATTGGATTCTTAGCTGATATCTTCAGAGAGCCATATTTCCCATCTGAAGAGCACTCACAGGACATTCTAAGCAAAAGATAACTTTTAGAATTACTTACCCCCCAAACCAATTGGATTTTTTTGGTGAGCTGCCACATTCAATGCTTTGTAATGTTTATCCTTTGGAAAATAGTTCAGGCAGCAACTTCCTAATCTCTGTAATTACTGAAAAGACGCTTAAATTAATCTCTTCCCTAAGATTATGTTTGTACTGAAAGGAGATTCACAAGGTAAATAAAGACCTTGTTTATTTATTTTTTTTAATGTTTTATTTATTTATTCATGAGAGTCAGAGAGAGAGAGGCAGAGGCAGAGGCAGAGGGAGAAGCAGGCTCCCCGCCCAGCAGGGAGCCCAATGCGGGACTCGATCCCAGGACCCTAGGATCATGACCTGAGCCGAAGGCAGATGCTCAACCATCTAAGCCACCCAGGCACCCCAGACCTTGTTTAATGAAAAAGATTGTTAAGTGTAGTTTTCCCTCACAAAGAAATAAATATCTTACAAAATTCCAAGATTGTATAAGTGGCACATTTCCAACAATTATGGAAAATATACCATAATGTTAATTATACATCTATTTTTATTTTCATTTATTTAAGTAAGTTCTACACCCAACGTGGGGCTTGAACTTATGCCCGAGATCAAGAGTTGCGTACTCTACCAACTGAGCCAGCGAGGTGCCCAGATATATCTATTTTTAAATATACAAAGTAAGGGGGCACCTGGCTGGCTCCGTCATCAGAGCATGCGACTCTTGATATTGGGGGTGTGAGTTCAAGCCCCACACTGGGTGTAGAGATTATTAAAAAGAAAATATATTTTTAAAAGATTTTGTTTATTTATTTGCCAGAGAGAGAGAAAGCACAAGCAGGGAGAGTGTCAGGCAGAGGGAGGAGCAGGCTCCCTGCTCAGCAGGGAGCCCAATGCGGGACTCGATCCCAGGACCCTGGGATCATGACCTGAACCAAAGGTAGACACTTAACCGACTAAGCCACCCAGACATCCCTATTAAAAAGAAAATCTTAAAAAAATATATATATATATATACACACACACACACACATATATATCCCCTACTTTATTTTTTTTTAATTTGAGAGAGGGCAGAGCTAGAGAGAGAGAGAGAGCATGCATGAGCTGGGGGGAGGGGTAGAGGGAGAGGGAGAAGCAGACTCCCTGCTGAACAGGGAGCCCTGATGATGAAGCAGGGCTTGATCCCAGGACCCTGGCATCATGACCCCAGCCGAAGGGGTACCTTTTATTATTATTATTTTTAAAGATTTTATTTTAGGGGTGCCTGGGTGGCTCATTCAGTTGACTGTCTGACTTTGGCTCAGGTCATGATCCTGGGGTCCTGGGATCGAGCCCCGCATCGGGCTCCCTGCTCAGCGGGGAGTCTGCTTCTCCCTCTCCTCCCCACTCATGCTCTCTGTCACTCTCTCTGTCTCTCTCAAGTAAATAAATAAAATCTTAAAAAAAAAAAAGATTTTATTTTAAGTAATCTCTACACCAATGTGAAACTCAAACCTACAACTCCAAGATCAAGAGTCACATGCTCCACTGACTGAGCCAGCCAGGTGCCCACAAAGTAGGATATATTTAAATACTTAAATACATCATTAAACATTTTTATTTTACTCATAGTACTTCTGTTCAAAAATTTTCAGAGTTGACTGCTACTGTTTCTGCAAGAAAGGCAATTTCTCCTGTTTAAAATAATACTTCAGGGGCGCCTGGGTGGCTCAGTCAGTTAAGCAGCTGCCTTTGGCTCGGGTCATGATCCCAGGGTCCTGGGATCGAGCCCCGCATCGGGCTCCCTGCTCCACAGGAAGCCTGCTTCTCCCTCTCCCACTCCCTGCTGCTCTGCCTACTTGTGCTCTCTCTGTCAAATAAATTAAATATATATATATATATATTTAAAATACTTCAATAAGTATGAATCATAGAATTTGAGATGGAAGAGCTTTCAAAATCATCACATATAAACCCTT